CCCATTTATTTCATACAGCTTTTGTATTATACACATTATTGTATCTTCATTTCCTATGATTTCTAGATATTTTGGCTAAAAATGTATATTTAGAAACAAGACATGGATATACCGGCACCGATCATTATTTTTGAGTTGCGTCCCTTAACAGCTAAAATTGGTCAAGAGACTGGTTGATTGTTTTATCATGTAATTGACTGAATTGAAACTCATTGTCATAAAAATATTGTCATGGATTTATTTTTGACTTTTATTCGTAGTTACTAAATGCCGATTCCTTCACATGACCTAAGAACTGTTCTCAGTCGGCATGGTCGACCTACCTTTCAGCATATGTCACATCTTTGCCCTTTCCAGTAAACTGAGCATAACTATGGTAAATAATACCCTGTTGGCTCTTTGTCCCTGAATACAATGTACAACAAAGCCATTACAGCTTTTCTTTCTTGCTGTATAGATGATTCTACCCCTTGAAGGAGGTACACGTGCTTATGTTTACCTCTGTAACATACGCTTTATTGGTTTTCACCGCTTAGAGAATTCTACACGGGAGATCACTCTCAATCACTATTTTATAAGCGAAAAAACCCATGTATTAAACCTTTTTTCTCCGGAAAACCCTGACTTGCCAATGTCCTTAAACTTGTACTTACCGACTGTCATAGGTCCTGTCAACTTCATGAAATATAATCCAATTAAAACACAAAATGAATTAATTTCCACTGATATACATGTAACACTGCACCATGTCACATGGCATGTGCAATCTAAAAATGATAATGGTAAAACTAGTACTAGTACTGGTAGGGTGACGCAAGCCCAATGTGATGTAGAAATTTTCAAAAAGGTGTTCACATACATGTACAGTACAAGAACAAATTTTAAATTATCATAACAAACGATGTTTTAACATAACTTTGCCATCTAGGCCTATTTCCAAAAACAGGCAAATTGTGTGTGTGTGTATTTGGGGGGGGGGGGGGGGGGGGGGGACACATATAAATTGATTGGGTATGGCTTTTCAAGGAGGTTTTTGCCTAATCAAATACTAAAAAAAGTTTGCACATTTTGATAAATTCATCAAAAACGCTTTGTACTAAAATAATATTATTTGTTGTTGAGAAGATAAATTTAATTTAAAAAGTTCCAATTATGGGCCAAAAATTTATATCCCCCCCCCCCTTTTTATTAAAACCTAATTTACAACATTAATTAAATTCTGATATTTCAGACTGGTAATGAATTAAGTATATGAAATGCGTATAAGAGGTTCATGGGTCACATGGTCACCTGAGCATTTTATGCTCGATTTGACGAATACATGTACTGTGTAAATTATAGAATTATTTGGACTTTTTCCTTGGTAAGCCCAATATGAAGGAGTGTGCATTTAGAGGCAAACACCTTAGTGCGGGTATTACTGTCTCATGACAGCATCTAGTTTTATATGTCATCACTGTGATAAAGAAAGTTATGATTTAATTAAATTCTCTCAGATTAAACAAACTTTGTGGTTAAATTACAATAGAAATGTGCATAATCATTTGATTCTTAATTAGAAAAAACTAATATGAATTGTAAAATGATATTGTAGATATGATTTATAGAAAAATGGGGCATACTCATATACAATTCCAAACTTTTAAAAATTCTAAAACTATAAAAATCTAATATAAAGCATTGTAAAGTTTGGTTTCTACAGCAACATCAGGAGATTCTCGAAGATCCTGAGCTAGATTTAGATGAATGCACAGATTCCGTGACTTGATATATGGTATGTTACACAGCTATTTTGACACAGGTTTCCCAAATCCACTTCTCCATATATGGAAAATGACAAAGGTTTCTGGCACAGGTTTTCAAAAACTGCAAGTCTATACATGTATAAGGAAACTAGCACAGTTTTCTGGCATGTGTTTTGTAAAACTGTGTGACCTAACTTAATATTTCAGCCAATATCTCGTGCTTTGTTCGTGCCTCAACCACTTTTTGATTTGGTTTTTTTAATACATTTTTTACATATTAGCAGGACTCCTACTGTTTCACACTATAAACATGGGTTTCTGGAGGAGGAATCCATGACTGTGCCGTGTCTAAGCCATCTACTGTTTTGTACCATCATGAGTTTTTTTTTGATTAACATGTACATACGTATAAAGTTTGAAGGATTGAGATATCCCCAACAGAAACTTTTAGGTTTGCGCTATGTTTGAGATATCCCCAACATAAGCTTCTAGGTTTGCGCTTTAACCAAAAGTTACTAATGTTGTCACAAGCTTGAGCTCTTGAAAAACCAGAATTGGTTGTCATTACAAGATTGATGGAATTATTTGGGTGAAATGATGGGGACACTAGCTCCCTTACAGTAAGTTAGTGGAAGTGCAATACAACGATAGGAGGGTAAAATGCTAGGGCAAAGTAGCTATTCTCCCTCCCTCCTTACAATTTCACTCTCTTGTGTTGTCCCCCTCACTTCCTTACCCCATGCCTCTTCATGTTTTTGCTTCCACATTTTTGTTTTGTAACCACTGCTAAAATAATGTTCCATAAATTTTAGCTACAATCAATCAAAGGAATTCAAAAGTATGATGTTTAACCAATTTAATTAAAGTAGACCCCAGACATTTAAGAGAAAAGTGAGAAGGTGACATTTGCTCATTATATCACTGGTTAATTAAGAAACATCCATTCTTCACTAAAAGGAAAGAACTAATAAAAAGATTTGATAGATCTCTACTTTGTACAATGGATAATGGGGACATCTTTGCATAAATTTTGTTCAACAAAACACAGCAGAATAGTTTCCGTATGAAACATACCAAAATAGTCTCAGTGTGAAACATAGCAGAATAGTGTCAGTGTGGAACATAGCAGAATAGTGTCAGTGTGAAACATAGCAGAATAGTCTCGGTGTGAAACATAGCAGAATAATATCAGTGTGAAACATAGCAGAATAGTGTCAGTGTGAAACGTAGCAGAATAGTCTCAATGTGGAACAATGCAGAATAGTCTCAGTTTGAATCCGAGCTAAATAGTCTCTGTGAGAAACATAGCAGATAGTCTCAATGTGAAACATAGCAGAATAGTCTCAATGTGAAACATAGCAGAATAGTCTCAATGTGGAACAATGCAGAAAAGTCTCAGTTTGAATCCAAGCTAAATAGTCTCTGTGAGAAACATAGCAGATAGTCTCCATGTGAAACATAGCAGAATAGTCTCAGTGTGAAACATGGCAGAATAGTGTCAGTTTGGAACATAGCAGAATAGTTTCTGTGTGGAACAATGCAGAATAGTCTCAGTGTGAAACATAGCAGAATAGTGTCAGTGTTAAATGTAGCATAATATTCTCAGTGTGAAACATAGCAGAATAGTCTCAGTGTGGAACATAGCAGAATAGTCTCAGTGTGAAACATAGCAGAATAGTCTCAGTGTGAAACATAGCAGAATAGTGTCAGTGTGGAACATAGCAGAATAGTCTCAGTGTGAAACATAGCAGAATAGTCTCGGTGTGAAACATAGCAGAATAGTCTCAGTGTGAAACATAGCAGAATAGTCTCAGTGTGAAACATAGCAGAATAGTCTCAGTGTGGAACATAGCAGAATAGTCTCAGTGTGGAACATAGCAGAATAGTCTTAGTGTGAAGCATAGCAGAATAGTCTTAGTGTGAAACATAGCAGAATAGTCTTAGTGTGAAACATAGCAGATAGTCTCAATGTGAAACATAGCAGAATAGTCTCAGTGTGAAACATAGCAGAATAGTCTCAATGTGGAACAATGCAGAAAAGTCTCAGTTTGAATCCGAGCTAAATAGTCTCTGTGAGAAACATAGCAGATAGTCTCAATGTGAAACATAGCAGAATAGTCTCAATGTGAAACATAGCAGAATAGTCTCAATGTGGAACAATGCAGAAAAGTCTCAGTTTGAATCCAAGCTAAATAGTCTCTGTGAGAAACATAGCAGATAGTCTCAATGTGAAACATAGCAGAATAGTCTCAGTGTGAAACATGGCAGAATAGTGTCAGTTTGGAACATAGCAGAATAGTCTCAGTGTGAAACATAGCAGAATAGTGTCAGTGTGGAACATAGCAGAATAGTCTCAGTGTGGAACATAGCAGAATAGTCTTAGTGTGAAACATAGCAGAATAGTCTTAGTGTGAAACATGGCAGAATAGCCTCAGTGTGAAACATAGCAGAATAGTCTCAGTGTGAAACATAGCAGAATAGTCTCAGTGTGGAACATAGCAGAATAGTCTTAGTGTGAAACATGGCAGAATAGCCTCAGTGTGAAACATAGCAGAATAGTCTTAGTGTGAAACATAGCAGAATAGTCTCAGTTTAGAACATGGCAGAATAGTTTCTGTGTGAAACATAGCAGAAGTGTCAGTGTGAAACATGACAGAATAGTGTCAGTTTGAATCACAGCAGAGTAGTCTCAATGTGAAACATAGCAGAATAGTCTCTGTGTGAAACATAATAGTATCAGTGTAGAACATTAAGCAGAATGGTCAACAGAATAGTTTTAGCTTAAAGGATACTTTAAAGTTTCCCTTTTTTCTTTAACAAAACACAGGTTCAAGCGCAATAGTAGCAAAGTTTTCAGTATGCCACAATGAAGTTTATTCCCTGTGTAAGAAATGTAAGGGAAAAGCACTACTTAAAACTAATATACTGTAGACATGCACTTCTTTAATGCAATAAAAACATTAGTCCATTGAAAAGGCAAAAATCAAGTATTATTTAAAATATGATATGGAGGTTAAAATGTGAGGTTTGTAATTAATTACAAATATTACTGTTTCATCATTAAAACCTTAGTAACCTTCTTCTATAGAATAATTGCATCACAATTAAAACTTGAGAATTATACCTATCAAATATATATATATTTTTTAAATACATTCTTTGAATTTTTTAGAAGCAAGGTTTCAGAATCATAATTTTTTTTTAATATTTATTAAATATTTAAACATATAAACAGTAGAAATCCCCCCCCCCCCCCCACTTTTCCAAGCAGATTTTTATTGCAAATGTAAGACAACCCTGTAAGAGTTACTGCCCTTTGTTGTTTGACTCCTCCAGCCAAACAAAGAAAATGGCAGCCATTGTGGACACTGTCCACTAGCATAGATGAATCATCAGTGTTTTATAGATACAAACATAAACAGAAGAAATGAAAGGAGTCATCATCAATACACTGCCTGCAGGTAAGGCTTGTAAAGCCATTAAAAGTTATCAATAGTGCATGCATCTGCATATCAGGATTAAGCATTCATTTTCAGTCTAGTCAAGCCTGCCGATGGTAAGTCTAGCCCTAAGGCTAAGATTTCAATAATACATTTTTATCACTTTATTAAATGATATTTTAAAACATAGGCATTTATTAGGGGTGTCAATTAAGCAAAAGGTGCATCTCTCTATCTTGGCAAAAATTAAAAACATTATTCCAGGGAAAAAAGTACTGAGATTCAAATTGTTATAGTTACTTCCCTTGTTAAAGGTATATGATGTTACAACTACTTTTTTTCTTTTTTGTCCCATTTCCTTTGAATTACAAATATATTTGGTATTTAATATCTATACTCTCTTAACAGCTTAATTATACACACAAATGAAGAAAGCTTATATTTCAGCACTTCGGACTTTAGCAATAGTGGTGGTCAGTCATTAAGACAGAAAACTCAGAGGAGCATTTATTACCACACGATAGAGAAAATAACAAGGAGAATCACAATATTGTTTGACACGGAACCGTTATAATCAGCATCTTCATGAGTATGAAAATTGTCAAAAACGCAGAGGGAAAACTACACCGATTTATAGTCAAACAAGGTATTCTTCATTTATTTTCTTTTTTCAGTGAAACAGACAGCATTTAGATTGCTAGGCTTCTTTCTCCACAGATGATTTCCAAATACTAAAATATACCAAACTTTATTTTCAAACACTATGTTCTGCGCAGGCGCATTCTGACCAAATGGTTCTGCGCAATCGCGAAACCACAGAAGGGTGAATGTGGTCCCCAAATTTTCTACTGCCCGCATGCATACATAGAAAGTGCCTCCAAATATTTCTCATATTTTAAGAAGAAAAACTGTAGAATGTCAACAAGTAATTGAAAATTCACAGAATTAAATATAAAAAATCCTCCAGTAAATTTACTGCAAATCTAATGAAAGTTCATCAACAGTTAAAATGTAAAGAAAATTAAATAATTATCAATCATTACTTACCATTAATCATTACAGGTAAAAAGTACAGAAATTACAGATAAGCCATATCAGCAAGATGCAACGACGGTCAAAGAGCAGGTAATCTGAAGCCAGTGCAATAATTCATTTGAGAGTTACTCCCCTTTCTACATAACTGAAAAATACTTACACATTCCAGGTCTCTACTGTATCCAATGCAGAAAATTGGAACATCACTCTGCAAGAAATACAAGAAAGAATTAATTTTTTGTTTCCAGAATCATTCGCTAATAGTTATGTATCTTCTCTGTATATTTCAGTGCTTTCCCCTCAAATTTCAAGACCATGTCAAATTTTCCATCACCTCAAGTAAATTTTCTTAAGACACAGAAAGGTCATGAAATTCATTTTCCAGATGAAGAAAAGAAATTCAAAAAAAATCCTGCACCCTCCAGGCCACTGATTAATTGAAGAGGTTTTCGGAACAGAAGATTTGGTAAGAAAGTTGTTACGCTTTCGTTCAAATGCTACTATACATATTAAATATGTAGACAAAAATGCCACAAGGACAGACTCCAATATCAACCGCCACGAAAAACCATGCTAGTCCAACCATCAGCAGCGCATGCGCTTGTCCCTTGCTAAAATTTGCAGACCCCAAAGAAGCAAATGACATAAACTTTACGTTGTAAAAAATTCACCAACTGTAAGAAAGTGAGATTTGTCCATTGAAAACAAGGAAAATATCAATAGATTCTTAAACCATGTGGCCATCGATCTTCCATCTACACGTTTAACATTTTCTAATTTGGAAAATATTTGAAAAAGCAGAATCTTGTTTTGTGGCAAAAATAAAAAAAAAAAACCAATGTATTAATACTATGAATAAAAAATTATGAAAGTAAAAGATAAATTAAATAATCCACGGAGATAGAGATGGACTTGAGAAATCATGGAGGTCTAATGCCGGCCAGTGCGCAAGCGCAGACATCGTGAATTTCTTTTGGTGTCCCCACATTCCATTTCTACACATTAAAAGAAAAATACTTCAAAATTACCAGAAAGAAAGTTGAAAACATAAAACTGAAAGAAATTATCTTAAACCGAGAAAAATTATTCAAAATATTCGAATCTGTTGTTTTGTTGAGTATGTCTCATATAACGGTACAATATTCCTATACATAAATACACACAAGAAATTCATTCTGCTGTTAAAAGTGAAAATATAATAAAAGTATATTTAATTCCAATTGATAATTATTGATAATCATTAGAGGAAAAAATGCTGAGACACAAAAAGTTTGCGAGAAAGTAGTGCGCACGCGCCACGTTCGTGTTCATGAAGTTGGTAGCCCCAGTCTGACCATGATGCGTCGAGATTAAAATATTTCCAAAGAGATATTCTTACAGAAAAACAAAAAAGGGAATAAAATTATCTTAATTCTTCAAAAAACTAACCTTGAATGTTAAGAAATATGTTGTCCATGTTGTACACTTTAAATATGATGCCATTTTAGAAAAATGAGGCACCCTAACATGTGAACTGTATGGCTTCACCTATGGCGCATGCGCCCGCTCCATATTTCTATGTCACATTCCGCTTAAAAAAACCCTTTAGATGGATATAAGCACCTTTTACTTCTACATCTATGTTAATTTCTTTTTGAATGTCTGAAATGGTTTTGACTTATTTAGTGCATGCGCAGTGCAACGTCGACATAAGTTATGCACAATACTGGTCTTAGAAAAATAAGTATTTAAAGATATCTGCATAACCTTTGAGGTTATCCAAATAAAATGTTAAAGTATGGCGATTGACTATCTTGGACAGTTTTAATACATCCTAATACTTCAAAATTCGAAAAAGAGAATATCCAAAAATTGTGATACATACTAAAATAAAGAACGAAATAGAAAAGAACACGAGGTACGCCATCCGCCATCTTGTTCATTTTTGAATCTAATACCTGATTAAATTTTCATCACAATGAATACGAATGAAAGACAGCTAAAAATGTTACCTTGTTTGAAGATAAATGTTTATTTAATCCTGTCAATCATCAATCAGCCGGTAAAATCCTGCACGACAACAGTACAACACAAGCAAAGCCTGACTCTCACTGCATCCAACATGGCGACCCATATACAACACACAAGGTAGACCTTCAGGCGGGAAGAATAAATATGCGCCAAAAATTATGAAAACCATAACTGACCTTATTCCCTCCAAACACATCACCTTTTTGTGTTTTATTGCAGATACTTTAAATTTATAACAATGAAGCCAGGTGCCACTTATTTCTAAAGTGCACCTTTTGCACAATTTATGCACTGACGCCCCTCCTGGGTCACATTGAAAAAGAGTTGAAATTAAGTTTTTATCTTTAAAACTCGTCAGTCAATGCTATTCCATTTGTCTTTCAAGAAATGAAGATCCTGTTTGTATTTAAGTGATTGTTCATATTCTATCACCTGTGTGAGAAGATCAATTTTTTTAATTTTCTTTTTTCTAAAATCAGCAATGTCCATACCAGACAGACTATTTAGAGCCAGTCATAATCAGCCTTGAACTACAACAACTGACAAATTCTTGTCTGACCTACAAAAGAGAGTCTCAAAAGAAAATGTCCGACCATTCAAAGTAAGTAGGTGGTTATATCACATCCAGACACAACAGATATGCAACGCAAGCCTGTGCACACCATGCCTCACATCCTTCTAGGTTCAAACAAACTGCACATTCACAAGACTACATAATAAGCACCAGTATGTAAGGTCTACTGAAAAACAGATTGGCAAAAAATGGCGGTCTAGTAAGTCACGCCCTGCAATCACAACTCACTGTGAATAGTCTAGTACACAAGCGCTGGAAAAGCAAAGGTAGAACCCCACCTCAGATTCACAAAAATGGCGCTTTTCGGAAACGGATGTCTTCATTTATAGATGCCATGCAAACAATTTACCAAAATCTCCCTCGACTTCTTTATGCGCATGCGTTGCATAGAAAATATCTCTTTATCACAAAATTTGTAATTTTTATTGTCTAATGAAAGCTTTTTCAGCTTTCGATAAACTTTCAAAATCAGAAATTCAAGTCTTTTCTATTTCAAATCTTAATATAGCAATTGTCACACAAGTTGGAAGTCACGCCATTTTGAAAATTGGAATGGGCGATGCACATGTTACCATGCTGTAGTATCCAGAATTTCCTATTCAAAGTTGAAACAAGTTCCATTTTATCAATATGAAACCCTTTAAATCTAGAAACCTTGGCAAAAAAAAAAAAAAAAACTATGATTATACACAAATACAAAAAGAACCAGCAAACACATCAATGTAGGAGACGCCATACAGTGCAAAAGCAGAAGCACGTTTTAATCACCTTTAGTCATTATATGATCTCTTTTTCTCATTTCAAACCAAGAATTTAACAATTCCTCACAAATAATAATCTTCCTCATTAACCACTTTTTTGGACTGAATCAAATATTACCACCTAACCTTACCACTAACAGAAAATTTACCATTCCTTCAAGTAATTAATGCTACCGGTCTTGTGTTTCAGATTAATGGCGTATCCAAAGGGAGATTACTCATGCTGTCCTAGACATTAACTGCCTGTCTAAAAACAAGTGGGCCACTTGGTGTATGCTACAGCAGGTCACAATGAATACTGATGTCACTGTTGTTTGTTAATTCTCTTGTCTGGTATGTATTCAAAATAGGAGGAGGGGCTTAGGCTGTATTTGATCCAACAAAGATTTTACAAAAAAATCATTTCTTGATTCACTAATCAAGCTACTGTTAAATATTCAAATATCATTCAGTGTAAAAAAATACCCCAGAAATGAAAAAGGTTCATACTTATTCTTTTTTCTTTTGTGTTGCATAGAAACAGGGGGAAAAGAAAACTTTGTATGCACTTCAGATAAATTGATACATTATAATAAAGAACATTAAATACCTTGAAGTCTAGAAGAGATAAAATTTCTTGCTTAGCAAGATATTTTAAACATGGGAGCATATTTTGCAAAGCTGTTAAAACTTCCCTGAATTTGATTGGTTATCGTGTAATAGCTAAAAGCACACCCACCATATCAGTAGTTTAAACAAGGTCAGACTGCCAGTCTGGTATAACATGTGTCTGCACTGTATGTTTTATACAAATTTATTCAATATGGCTGAACTTCCCCATTACACCATGCAAACCTGTCTAGAAAACTGAAGAGATGAGTCATGTCAAACTACAAAAAGCTGATTACCTTGCAAGAGAAAAAATTTAATATCCCAAACAGTGATAAAAAAAAATATCACTAGAAGATTCACAGATGGAAGTACATTTCCTAAAAGAGTGTGCTCTGTCACAGATGTTAAGGGAATCTACACCTTCAAGCTGAGGAGTTCCGTTTGAGACGGGGAAATTTATTTGGCGCAATCCGCATGGCGCGAAATTTCAAATTTGAATTTTTAAAAATGTAGTGATATATTTCAAAAAGGTGGATTTCTTTCATCTTGCTGAAAGTTTCTACAGTTTATTTGTGAATTTATTTTGAGGATTTATCTTTTACAGGTTGGCACAGCCTTGAAGCCAGGTATCAACTTAAATCACTGCCATCCCATCTAAACATGCAAAAAATCATGATGCATGAAAGGGTTTCTTTCCTTTTTTTTTTATTTTGTTTGAAAGTGTTTTATTTAACACAAGTACAGTGATTGTACATGGATATGCAGCGATGTTAATCAAACAATGACCTGAATTTTTAATCTTGCTTGAAGTTGTATTACTTAATGGAGATGTTTTACTGAACACATCTGTTATGGTTGAATGCATTTTGTAATTAACTGAAAAAGTTTACTCTAGTTTTATTGTAAATAAGTCATGTTTCAATCATCTTTTTTATTATTTTGCTGATTATCAGTTTCAGGATGAATTAAAATAAAGCACTTGTATCAGCAAAACAGACTGTGTAGTACTCCTGAACCCAGGTCAGTGAGTGTGTGTTTATATACTTTCAATACAACATTTGTATTCTGCATTCACTAGTACTGAGCTGGTATTTTCTTAAAGAGCAGGGTAATTATAGGGATTCATCATCAACATTCTTGTTTCATAGTTGTAAAATATTTGACACTGGAAATTTTTTACAACTAAAGAGGCCCATTGGCGACATTCCTCACCTGAGCACTTTGGCTTGAGAAAAGCAGAAATCAATTCAGTGTTGAAAAATTTAAATTTATGCCCCCCCCCTTTTGGGGAGGAGCAGGGGAGGGGGCATGATTTGAACAAACTTAAATCTACACTACCTGAAGATGCTTCCATTTTTTATATGACAAATCATGGCTTTGTTGTTCTTGAGAAGAAGATTTTTAAAGATTCTTCCTATATATCCTTATGTAAAACTTTGATTGTCCATTTTAGCCCCACCCTACCCCCAGGTGGTCATGATTTGAACAAAATTTAATCTACACTATGAAATAAAACTTTCAACTAAGTTTCATCTTTTCTGGCTCAGAGGTTCTTGAGAAGAAGATTTTTACAAGATGCTACTAAATTTTCACTATTTCTTACTTATCTCTCTCTTAAAGAGGGCCTGTCCCTTCAAGTGAACAAACTTGAATCAACTTCAACCAAGGATGCTTTGTAGCAAGTTTGGTTGAAATTGGCTCAGCAGTTCTTGAGAAGAAGATGAAATTGTAAAAAAAAAAAAATTATGATGACAACAGACAATGGACAAATTTTGATCAGAAAAATTCACATGAGCCTTTGCTCAGATGAGGTAACAAGCAGTACTGAAATGGCAAGAATTCATAAGTGTCAGAATCTGAAGAGACAATACTGACTGTGTGAACTGACAGAAGTTGAACAGAATCCTGACAAAATTGACAGTGTGAACTAACAGTACAGCAGAATCCTGACAATACTGTATAAACTGACAGAGATACAACAGATTCCTGACAAAATTGATGTGAACTAATAGCAGACCAACAGAATCCTGACCATGTGAACTGGCAGCAGTGCAACAGAATCCTGATCATGTGAACTGACAGCAGTACACAGGGATATACATTAACCTTCAGATTTACTTGCCCTTCGGGCAAGTGATCTCAAACTTTGACTTGTCCGAACACAAAACTTGGTTGCCCAAAATAAGGAAAGAACTTCAGAAATTTTTCTTTATTACTGTAAATATTATGACAAGAAAAAATGTGACCAAATACACTACCGTCAATTTGGCAAGGTGAGGTACCTGAAAAAATTTTGATGCTGCGTTTGTACATAAATGTATACCACTGTCCCTGTAAATTTAACCTGTTAACACACACTGCCATGAAGCAATAACCCTCCGTTTATTTAAATTCATATTTTTAAAAAGATATTTTCGGTAGGATTCTTTTGTGAATCGTAATTTTCTGAGATAACTGTGAAACAACGCTGAAGGAAGATAGTTGCTACATAACACACATCGATCTTTACCTTGATCACTTTACTTATATTCTGTAAGTGAATAAATAATCTAATTTCCAAATAAGAAGTTAACAAAAATGTTAGACGAACAGCATATTTACCAGGGAAAAAGAACGGAATAACGAATCCGATTTTCAAATGAAAGGTATAATCCAGAAATGCTGAAAAGGAATTCCGAATACAAAAACAATGTCAGTCAGGTACCTGGCGGAAATCAAGTCTTCAATTTATTGTTTTTTTTATATAAATTAATGTAAACTAAATAAATATACATGTACATTTCTATGAGGAAAAAAATCACTTGCCCGATCGGACAAGTACGTCGCAAGATTCACTTGCCCGAACTGAGAATTTACTTGTCCCGGGCAATCGGACAACCGTTAATGTCGATCTCTGGTACAACAGAATCCTGACAAAATTGATCATGTGAACTAATAGCAGTACATCAGAATACTGACTGTGCAAACTGACAGCAGTACAAACTCCTGACAAAATTTTACCTTGTGAATTTGCAGCAGTATAACAGAATTCTGACCATGTGAACTGACAGCAGTACAACAAAATCCTGACCATGTGAACTGACAGCAGACCAACGGAATCCTGACAATGTGAACTGACAGCATTACAATAGAATCCTGACCATATGAACTGACAGCAGTATAACTGAATCCTGACTATGTGAACTGACGGCAGTATAACTGAATCCTGCCTATGTGAACTGATGGCAGTATAACAGAATCCTGAAAATGTGAACTGACAGCAGTATAACAGAATCCTGACCTTGTGTACTGACAGCAGTATAACAGAATCCTGACAATGTGAACTGACAGCAGTATAACAGAATCCTGAAAATGTGAACTGACAGCAGTATAACAGAATCCTGAAAATGTCAACTGACAGCAGTATAACAGAATCCTGACAATACTATGTAGACTGACAGCAGTATGATAGAATCTGAGGTCCAGTCACTTATGCTCATCATATGAAGAAACAATTACCTACAATGCAATGAATCATAGAAACATCCTATCTAAAACACAACCCCAATATTTCAAGTTTTTACAAAATAATATAGTCACACGTCATCATGTCAAACTTCATGGGACAGAGAAAATACTTTGAGATGACTGCAGGTTTGATATACTGAGCTTAAAATACCTAAACAAAAAGTGGTTGGGACCTCAAACTCACTTTGCAATATTCATGGTGTTTGAGATATCAATGTTCAAGATATGGAATTTCTAATGTATAAATTTCCAGTCTTTTTAGCACAAAACATGAAGAGCATTTTTGGTTTAAAGTAGGTCAAAGTCAATAATTCTCGTATTTTTAAAAATCTTCTTTTGTAATGCTTTATGTAACCCATAGCAATATGAGTTCTGTCAGAAGATATGGTTTCTAATAAATGAATTATATGATTTTCACAACATTATGAATACCAAACACTGCCCTTAATCTCAGATTTCTTAAAACACTGGACTCAATAGGCCATCAGGCATCTTTGTAGCAAATTTTAGACTTAAAATCAACTGACACTTTTTTTTACTGTGAAATAAGGAAATGTTAAGTGATACTCTTTTAAATTTTGTCCTCAATATACAGTAAAGTGGAAACACACTGCAGCATTTTTATTTTCACTATGTTTAGATCAAAGATTTCTCTGTAAAAATTAAGACATCATGAAAATTGTTGACAAATCAATGTAGCATTGAATTATCTATACACTTTAAATTTTTTATTTTTCTATTTTTGTAACAATAAATTAGTAAATAATTGAAAATTACTCGGAAATCTGAGTTCAATAAGTATGGCTAGTAACAGTTAAGTTACTGGGTCTTTTTATTTTAAATAATTTACCATAACTAACTTAATTTTTTAAAGAATATATAACAGAATGGCAAATAGAGAGCAAAGAGAATTCAATTCAATTCAATGACTGTAAAATTAAAGCCACCGTGAAATGTGCCAACATAGGAAATTGTGAAATATTAAACACATGAAATTAAAGACTAAACAGTAGTTTACATCTATTGCAATTGTTGACCTTTGACCCTCAGATGTATAGTCTGTTTCCCCTGTCATCAACCCTTCTGTAGCTAGATTGAATGTCACCACTGAGCTAGTGACACTTAAAATGGGCTTATCTCTTAAATTAACTAGCATCTATTTAGTAAGATTTTACGACTTTGACCTTGACCTTTCTTTCCTCAAATCATTTGGTTACCTAAGACCACTTTAACAAGTTTAAGACTTCATAGTGAAATGGTACAATGTCTACAACATTGGTAAGAAGATATTGTAGCACTGAACTTGACCTTTGACCTTTAAATAAATATGCTTGTAATCCTGGGCATCTGTTACCTGTGTAGCAAGTTTGAGACTGATTGGTCAAATAGTACTCCATCTCTTATGTCCACAATACTGTCAAAAATGCAAAATTAAGCAAGTTACTATATCGCTTTTCAACTTTTTAGTGAAGGGATTAAGAAAAATTGATTTTTAAACTAGAGGCCCAAGGGCCTTAATGGTCACCTGAGTATAATACAGCAATGTAAAGATCCACAGAAGTATAAGCCTGATATGACATATGATATGGTTTTAGTATGTTAAAATTCTCAATATAAAGTACATTGAACTTCTGCAAAATATTCTTGACAGATACATAAAATCCTAAAATCTGTCTCATTCAACAGAAACCAAACATCTTTTTAAACAGCAGAACCGACACTCTTTGAAATATCTCCCAAAGCACTTCATCAGATCAATCTATGGTGCTGATATTCCCAACTCAAACCTCTGTCAAGGAGTTGCTCAGACATTAAAAGTCTATTCTTAGTCCAAACAAAAAAATATGTGTGGTTCCGGTTACACCTCCAAAAAAATTAGGGTAGGTAGGTAGGGTCTTTTTTTTTTTTTAACAAAATGATTTTCATAATTTTTCTAAATAATACCTATCACTCCTTTGCAAGTGGCATTTAGATGTGGTATGGTAATATACTAGTCAATACTGGGAGGGGACACCTACATGCTAGCTTGCTTTGGATTTAACACTATTAAACACTTGCACTGTGTTTTGCAAAGAGGCCATCATTGCTGAAACTAAAACTTAAACCGAAGCCATTGATAGAAATCTGGGAAAATTTGGAAAAAAATATGAAAATTGCCAAAAAAAAGTTTAGGGTCGGGGTATAAAATAGGGACGGTCGGGTAACCGGAACCACACATATTTTTTTATTTGGCCTTAGCACCAGAAGCCCTGCCCTTTATCCTGTGATCCTCAAAGCTTCCCATTCAATCTCTTCTGCTTATCCCCTTATGTGCATTCAAAAAGATCACATACTATAACCTTCAAAGTTATGGGTAATTCTATATGTCACACATTATATGAGGGTTCTTCCAAAAAAATGCAAACTTATTAAATATGTAATAAAAGTACTTTACAAAAATTAATCATTTTATGCCCATTGTTGGGAAATGATAT